GAGAGTGAGTTTGGCTCTCCAAATTTGGAGAGCCAAACCCACTCTCTAAATTAAAATCTTAATTTAAAGAGTCTATTGGAGCATGATTTTACATGTTGACTCTTTAAAATAGAGAGCATCTCATATTTAAAGAGTCTGTTGAAGATGCTCTAATGCTACGTAATCTGTCTATTTAACAATGGACCCTATCGGTTCATTTTCCAATGAGTTGGAATGTATTTTCATTCATATGAATCGATGAACCCTATTGTTGGACTTGCCTGGAAATCCGAACTGAAACTGTCAAACCCGAAAAATATTATGTTAAATATTACAATTCATCAACTTGCATAATTGTTAGGTTTTGGATATAGATTTTGGGAGAGTCACACTTCAAAATTTAGCTATTAAAGTTGGAAAATTCAAGTCTATATTATACTTTGGATGTAGGAGTCAAGTCGCATATCTTGCGATGTGAATCATGACAATCTATTATGCTTCGTGATCCTAACGTCCACGCTGGACGGACGCTTTGTACTAGTCCGTGATTAGTCTCGGATGAACAATGCTATGTCGCGTCACCATTCAATCAAGAGACATGGTATCTGTTCTAATACCATAGATATAGATATTGGAAAAGTCATATCTCAAAAGTTATTTATTGAAGTTGGAGATCCAAATTTATATACATCACACACCGAAAGCACATACTTTCAATGTGGGATTGAAGTCTCATAACTTGCAATGAGAATCGTAACAGTTTATTTCAAATAGAATATGAGGTAGAATTTTTGCTGCTGTGTTTATTTTTCTTCAATGTATGGTTCAATTATTATTCTGCGCAACAATCTCTTCACCATCTAATTACAATATTATATTTGAGCTCTCCTCAAAATTGAAATACAACAGCTGAATATCTAATAGAACTTGGATGTCTTGTTCACACAAGAGAGAAGACTTGTTAAATTATTCATTGTATAGGACCAGAAGTGGTCGGTCCATTCATTGAGAACTCATTGTTTGTTATAAAATCACAAAATTGAATTGGTTCGATTTGTTTCTAAATATTGGTGATCGTGATCTGATTTCATAGAGAATTGAATCGAACTGAGTTCTAATAATTATCCGAAAAATGAAATCGTTGAGTCTATCACTAAGTATGAAATACAATCGTTCGGTTTGGTTCAGTCCAATTCGATTCATTCAATTGAAGTTCTCAAATTCACTAATCAAACAAATGGAGTGCCTAGCTATAAAGACTCTTAAACTGTATTTATTTAATTATCTAATTTTCCGTAACATGTTCATTAAACCATTTATATTGATGTTAATGATTTGTGTTTTTCAAGTTTAACTCTGCAATAATTTAAACCAACTGATTTTCTAGAAGTAGAATAGTATTGGCTTGAATGAATTCTTGAAAACACGTGCCAATTTCATTTCATTTTCTTTATAATTTGAAGGAGCCAAAAATACTAACTTGGAAGAGATAAAATGAACTCATTCCACAATTACATTTATTAAATTCAAATAATTCATTTTGTCTAGGTTTTTAAATAACACTGTAAAGAATTGAACATGAGTTAACTTACTATGAAGTTCAAAAGAAAAAGTAAAATGCTTGGATAATTGCACCACCACCTGTAAAAAAAAACAAAAATTCGGGTTAAAACCCGAGTTTTTATGTTCTTAATATTTGAATCGAGAATCAAAACGAAACTGGTCAATTCTCGATTTTAATACTCAAAACCAATTAGAACCAGACTGAACCATCCGATCCTA